AAGTTTGATAAGTTGTTATAAAGCATATGTTTTGCAGGATCGTTCTTTGCCACATTTCGAAAGACGTCAAAAAACACCAGCTGCGAAAGGTTTTGTAGAAAACAGTTTTTATTCTGGTTTAACACCAACCGAATTTTTTTTTCATACCATGGGTGGTCGAGAAGGTCTTGTCGATACTGCAGTAAAAACTGCCGAAACTGGTTATATGCAGAGACGATTGGTGAAATGTCTTGAAGTAGGTTTATCCTATTGATAAAATTTGAATAGTGACTGCAGATATCATGTATACTTCTAAGTCATATATCAAATTACTTTGGTATGGGAAACTAAGCTTGTTTATTGTTGAAATGTTCGAGAACTATTAAACTGCTATTTAGGATCTGTGTGTAAATTACGATGGTACAGTGCGTTCGTCCGTAGGCGATGTAATTGAGTTTACATTCGGCGAAGATGGCTTGGATCCTGCGTTGATGGAATCAAAAGATGGTGGGGTCGTAGATTTCAAACATATACTAGAACATATTCGAAATATTATGCCGTATGTTTATTTTTTTCACTGTGGGAAAAACGCCATGTGCAAAAGTATTCGATCCTGTAGTGAAGTATGTACTAAACTGAAAATGATTCAGACGCTTTTGAATCATTTTGTATGAGTTCATTTCTCCACAGGGCAGTGTTGAAAGTATTGTTTTAGTTCCGTGCCAAATTCTCATTCCTGCATAAGATTCCAAATAATTGCTACTAAGAAAGATTATGACTGCAAATGTAAATTTAAAAGCAGAATGATGTAAGAATTAATCACAAATATAGGCATTCGACAGAAGATGGGGATATTACCAGCGATGAAATGCAAAAAGTTGTCACAGATGCAATCAATGAAAAGATTGGAAAAGAACATGCAATGTTTCGAGAACAGCTTGAGTCTTTTATTAATGAGCATTTGAAAAAAACGAACAAATATTACAAACTTCCAAAAAATTGCACTAGACATATGCAGTTAGTAACATTTCTTTGTTTCTAGCATATATGCTGTAGCTAAAGATTTTTGTAATCTGGATAAACAACTAAATCCAGATCGAATTATTTAATACAATATTTTGAAATTTTCTAAAAATGTGTGGAGTAAAAGATCTGACAACTGTACACCTCAGAGAAATACTAAGTTATTCATCTCCTTTATGCATAATTATTCTTTGGAAGGTTCTTTATTAATTATAAAGTAATACCAGAACTTATAAAAAAAAGGATATTCAAATGCGAAAAACTTTAAAAACTGGATTATATAGCTTATTCTTTCAACTGATACACATTAGCGGAAGTTTAGTACATGTTCACTTTTCGATAACAGATCGAATGATTCATATAATTCAAATACCTCGGATTTTTTTCGAGCTTATAAATCACGACATCTATTAACTTTTAACAGTTTAATGATTGCCTACAAATTTTTACTGTGGTGCCATGACTCTTAAACATTTGTCAGCATTTATAAATGCAAAAAATGTTTATTGCTTTGTTCCGATATTCCAATAGGTTAATGACATCAAGAACACGTTGTGATGATTGTAAGAATCAAAATTTCTTCCGACAGACCGAAATTAAGTCACGTTGTTTATCACGTGCGCAAGCAATCGCTTTCATTGGGCTTTGTTCGAGGAAATTTAGGCGTGCCATTTGTGAACCAGGTACAGCAGTTGGCGCTATTGCTGCTACAAGTATTGGTAAGTTATTCAATTGTTGTTCACAGGGAAGGATTCTGATTTGCTGGGTCTTTTACTTATGATCTTTCGAATTATTTTTACATACTTATTAAACCGCACTAAACTGCAACCATAATTTTGCATTTTGTTATTCCTCTTATTGGCACATTAGAAATATTCATTTCCAGGTGAACCGTCAACACAAATGACGCTAAAAACATTTCACTTCGCTGGTGTTGCTTCCATGAATATCACTCAGGTATATTTCTGATAAAATTGAAGTAATAGAAAATTTTCAGAATACTTCGTGTTTAAAATTTTAAAATTCCGTAGAGAAGCGTTGTGGAGAACATTGCTCAGTTATGTGTCGCATTTAACATATCCAATTTCTCAAAAGAATATGATACCAGTAGTATATCACTTTATCTAAAATGCCAAGCTGATATTTCTTGACACTGGTGTTTCACTCTGAATCGAAAGATATACCGCTTGTAGGGTGTACCACGAATTAAAGAAATCATTAATGGTGTAAAGTTGATCTCAACACCACTAATCACAGCTGCATTGATGGATGAAAAGGATGAAAACTTAGCGCGACGAGTGAAAGCAAGAATTGAAAAAACAACACTTGGTTTATTTTTTTTGTTTTTTAGCATTTAGTGCAAAGGTTGATTTTTTTATTGAGCAGTTAGGCTTCCAGTTTATTGCAATGCATTTAAAAATCGAATTGAAGTTAGAAAAGTGAAAACTGAATTAGAAACCAAATTAAAGACTCTCAACACTATGCTTTCATTGATTTTCTGTTTGTAGGTGAAATTTGTGATTACATAGAAGAAGTTTATTTACCAGACGATTGCTTTATTCTGCTAAAGATCAATGCAAAACGTGTTCGACTTCTCCAGCTTGAAATTACAATGTCATCAATTGCACAGTCTATTTGCACTTCAAAGCTGCCTGTTCCAGTGAAAATATCGCAGGTTCATAATAATTTTTTGTTGATCAAGAAAACTTTGTTTTAACTTGGTGGATTGCGTTTCAATTTTATCAAGATCTTATTGAATCCTTAATTGGTTTTGTTACAACGAAAAAAAAGTTGAAATTGTTAACTCACCTTTTCAAATGTTGAGCATGCTGCTGCTTGTCGATTTGCTGCGGAAACCTGTGTGATTATCTGAACATCTTGTTTTATCAATTGTATTTCTGTGGATGACTTTTTTATCATAAATATAAATCTTTGAAAGATTTTTTTTAATGATGATTTTTATAACAGAAACAATTCCTTACTTGTTTTTCAAGTACTTTATGGGAACTTTATTATTCTAATAACTGATTTCCAGATTACAATTTTGGGTAAAACAATTATGACAGTTCGACCGCCAGAATTGGCGAAATGTTCCAAAATGATGGCTATTCAATATCTGAAGTATAATATTGGAAATGTCGTTGTAAAAGGTATACATACTTTGCCTCGATTTAGTGTTTCAAAATTAAATTTTTATCCAATCTAAGTGTAAGTATTCAGCGATGTAGTTAGTGTTAACAATATTTGTAATTTTTATCTTAATTGTTACTCAGTATCTTGGGCACGAAAAAAGTTTGTCAGCCGTAATTCAATTGTTAGGTTACTAGTAGTTTGTTTTTATTTCATATAGAAATAATCCATTATATGAAAATAATTTACAGGTCTTCCGGGCATTGTACGCTGCGTAATTCATGCAGATGAAAAGAAGGGCGATTCTTATAAATTATTGGTGGAAGGGATAGATTATCGTGAAGTTATGGCAACAGTTGGCGTCGATGGCCGTCGGACATATTTCAATAATGCACTTACTGTCGCTGATGTACTGTAGTCATTGATATCCTAATCATGCTAAAAATATGATATCAGTACATAGAAATGAAAGGAAACTCTCTAAAGAAACTTAACATGGCCTTCTATTTTAGGTGCTTGGCATTGAAGCGGCACGTTCATCGATCATATCAGAAATATTATCTACAATGGTTTCACATGGGATTGGCTTAGATCAGCGACATGTGATGTTACTTGCGGATTTAATGACTTACAGGTTTTTTCGGCTTTTAATTTGTTGAAAAAACTCAACGATTTATAAAACCATTAATTAATATATTACATCTGCGTTCTTTTTTACTTGAAAGGCAGCAGAGCTATATACCAATTTTTGTCTATTTCGAACTTTCATGCGTGCAGATTTTCGATAATCTCAAATATCTTCCAGAGAATAGATAAAGCAGAAAGATTGCTTAATAGGAATAGTCTGTTTTTCTTGTTTTGTTTTGTTTTGTGACTGAGTGTCTACATAAAAAATATGCCTTTTTTTGTTGGAGTTCTATGTGCTTGAAGCGATTTAAAGATTCCTCAAATAAAAACCTAATTTAGGGGTGAAGTACTTGGTATAACGCGGAATGGTTTGGTGAAAATGAAAGAGTCGGTGTTACTGTTAGCATCATTCGAAAAAACAGCTGATCATCTCTTCGAAGCTGCATTTTTTTCACAAGAGGATAAAATATGCGGTGTAAGCGAATGCATCATTCTTGGTACTCCAATTACAATTGGTACTGGTTTGTTCAAATTACTTCGTAGCCATGGCAAGCAATTCTCAATATCTAGAATGAGCACCATTTTTGAGTCACCTGAATTTAATTTGAAATTGTAATGTTTTGCATATTTCCGACAGACAGTTCATTTTATGTCATGACTCTCAGGATATGATAATGTGACAAAGTATTCTACTCGGTAGTAAACTCGGTGAGAAATGAGGTGAACAGCATAATGTTCAAAGCTATGCTTGAAGAATAAGCTTTGTATTTAGTTACGGGTTTTATTGTTTTGTTTTTGATAGTATTGTTTCACTTTCACTGTTGCTTACTGTAGTTGTTTAACTTCAATTAAAATAATAATAGTATGGCCTTAAAAGTCATTTTTGGATTCCGAGTTGAACTTCGGTAACTTAATGAATGCGGAGGGCGTGGATGATTGTTAAGATGATAATTCACATGAAAAAATGGTACCAGTTTGTTTGTGTTGAAATTTATATCTGAAAGGGGAAAGACTGTGTTTTTTATCCATCTTTCGCGGTTTCTCCGTACTTTTCTAACAGAATAAATATGGTCTGTGATAACTGCTTTGTTTTGTCGAAATTTTCCTTTTCTTGTTTATTTTAGCTTGAATTTTAATGGTAGAAAAACATTTAAACTGGACAAATCATGTACATTGTAAACATTATAATACAGAAGTAGGTATAGGCACGATGACTGTGCTGTGAAGGTATTCAGATTTTGAAGTGAACATATGAAAATTAAAAATTATACATTTTTTACATGAATAGAGAAAAAATAATCAAGTAGAAATTTAAAAAGTAGAGACAGCTAATGTCTGGGAGTTCGGATTACTAAAAAATACAGCTTAAAAAAATTGCACAGTAACGAAGAGATCAATGACAAAAACGAGTAAACGGACTTTATTCCACTGAAAATTCCAGTGTTAAATATCAGCGTTTCTTCTTCACTCCTAGAGCCGCACATATATTCTTATTCAAACATTCCGAACACTTCGGCAAAACAGGTAAACACGTTTGCTGTCCAAAGCCAACTAGCAATTTGTTTAATTCATGCCATTGTTCACGTGGAACCAATGCTTCCAGAGCTATCCGAGACTCCTTTGGATTTGAAGTTTTAATCTGCAAAAATAAATTTTAGCTTAAACAGGATCATGCTCTGTTAACGGTGACTTCCCTTAATATTGCACCCATTTCTATGAATATTCCAAAAGCGTATGGGAAACCATTAAAAAATGTGGAATAGAGCTTGATACTTCTAACTTTACTATTTATAAAGAGACGGATTTTTCAAGAACACTCTTGTTATTAATTTCATGAAATGGAACAATATTATGGTATTATCACTAAAGTACTTCTCTTTCCACTGATCCATAATTAAGCAAAAAGAAACCCATCCAAGTCTGTTGCTGATACGATGTACATGTGTGTCGACACCAAGTCCTTCCATCTGATCCCAAGCATTACACATCGCAAGATAAGCCATCTTTTCACCAACACCCGGAAGAGAGCAGAGTCCTTTAACCGTATTAGGTATATCGCTATCATAGTGTTCTTTCAAAATTTCTGCTACCTTCTTGATATACGCAGCTTTTTTCTGAAACAAGAAAAGGACATTTAATTGAACTGCCTAAAAAAGAAAAGGACATCGTATTAGAAAAACTAAAGGTTTTTAATACGCTTAGCCATCATGAATAACCGTTTTAGTAGGATGGCTCTTTACAAAAATTTTTCAAGTGAAAAAGTAGTATGTGTGAGCGTAGTGCTTTCGTCTTGCAAATCTTTTTCTTAATTAAGTCTGGAAAGTAATAGACATTTTGTATCACATTTTTACAGTCATGTCTTGAAACTATTATTATTCTAACATCATTGTTATCATCTCTTACCTTGTAGAAACCGACTGGAATCAGTAGCTGCTCAAGCTCTTCAGTAGAAATAGCGATTAAATCATCAACTGTACATCCATGTTCTCGTAATCGCTGCAAATTAACAATCATGTATAAATCACAAATATTCCATTTAAATAGGTATTGTTTGCACAATTAACATTCAACCACTGATTTAGAAAAAACCTAAATTAAACGAACCAATTCAAATTTAACCTTAATATGTTATAAAAATTCATCGCCTTCATTATTTTATTTTCCAAACAATGGACGTATACATTTGTGGCATGTGTGCATAAAACCATATAGGAAGAACATACGTAAATGCATATGTATAAATGTATAACCAATTAGTAGAGTGGTTCTTTACATTTACATGAACTTGAAGGCATTATGACTTACATGCATTGCAGCAGCAGTTATGTGATCTTTTGTTTGACTTGATAACATTAACGACAACAGAGTTTGGAAACGAAACACCTAAAAATTAAACGAGAAATATTTCAGAAATTATGCACTATTGTTATTCAAAGTTCCAATCAATTACGTCGAGGATAATCATTGAAAATCTCGAGGAAAATAAAGCGAAACTTGCATACCATATCCCAAAATATCAATTACCATACCTTTGGTTCAGCGAGTGCATCAGCAAGCATATGACAACCCATGCTATCCACCGGTGCATCCCAATTACTTCTCATTCGTTTGATATTTTCTAAATGTTTCATCCACAAATATGATTCTTCCCTAATCGCATTTCCACGCTCCTTACCTTCTAAAACATTCAGTTATAGTCGAAAATAGTATGAAAAATGAAAAAAAAAAACCGAAAATGGATGATACCTTTTGAACAATGCTCTCCTGTATCGAATGCTATTTTTATTACTTTTCGGCGTTTCTTCATTGGTGTTGCCATTACTCGAAATATGCCACCGAAACGACCCGTTCCCCTATTCTAAAATATGAATTGAAATTTACTATATTGAAATGTAACTTGAAATCCGTCAACATGAAGTTCAGGATCACAAGCATCACCAAACAAACAACCGATAAATGAAACCGGAAATATCCAGCTGAGCAAGGAATTTTCATTGCAATTCAGCTCAACGTGATCTAACAAGCACAATAGGCGGAAAGTTGAATGGCTAATAATAAGCAAATATGTATTATGAGAGATTGTGGAGATGTTGGTTTGTGTTTCGTGAGGTTCGGTATAATAAAAAAAATCTGAATAAGATAATTGTATTTATAAACTGGAAATAGAATATGAACTTTTGCTTCCTTAAGCTCGAAGTGACTCATCATTCCGATGGAAACTCAATTAGCAGAAAGGAGAGATATTTTCAATTTGTTGAAGGTGTTAGATGAATTAAAGCATTTGAAAAGAACTGGATGGACGAGATTTAATGTTAGTTGTGTTTGGATTCTTTGTTTTATTTTTATTCATATGTTTTTAACTCAACAAATGCAATTGGCAAATAGCTACTGTTCCGGAAACAGAATTAGTAGGTAAGCAGACGTATTGTGTAACTCAGCTTCACTTTTTCTTTTAGCATTTGTAGAACTACATTTGTAATGAATAAATTGTTTAGCAGTACTTTAGCTGTCTTACTACTAGATTTTTAGATTCCGGAACCGGAAACAGTAGCTTGTCATATGTATCGTATGGCAGTGCTTGCAATGCTGGTGGGTGATGATTGTGATCGTTCTAAATGTATCAGAATGACATTGGTACACGATCTAGGTGAAGCTATTATAGGCGATATTACTCCACACTGTGGTATTTCGACTACAGAGAAACATCGATTGGAAGATGACGTTTGTTTTTTTTTTGATCACAAATACGTAGAGCACGTAAGCTATAATGGGTGTTAAGCAGAAGTAATCATTTTCTTGATGATAATGATAAATCAAGAGATTTGTTACAAAAATGATATCCGATCCATTTTTATTTTATTTGTTAATCTGCAGTTCTGATCATTACTTAATCATATATAGGCTATGAAGAAAATTACGGAGATGATACCGTCAACGGTTGGCGAAGACTGGTATTCTTTGTGGCAAGAGTATGAAGGTAATGAAACTAAAGAAGCTAAAATTGTCAAACATTTGGATAAATTCGATATGATCGTTCAAGCTTTTCATTACGAACAAAAGTATGGCGCAGGTAGGTGTATGTATATTCGATGCATCATATAGTTTTCATGTACATTGATTTTGTTCTATTAGCTTTTGAAATTTTTGCTTCATATGGCAATGTTGTACTCAAAGAATTACAATGTTTTAGAATGCAATCATAATGTATTTAAAATAAAATATTTTCAAACTGCAACAAGTACTAGATGACGCTATTGATAATTCGACACTACTGATAATTCCGATTTACAACAAATAATTTATCTTATCTTTGTCATTTTATATTTGTAAGATTGCTACACTAAATATTTGTGATATTTTTTCAAAGAAAAAATTGAACTCGGATATGGATCGTAGTTTGGAAATATTGATGACTTATTCACATTGGAACACTCTAAAAAATATTTCTGGAAGCTGCAACGAGCAGAAAAAGCTTATATTTACGTTGAATTTTTAGATCTTTTTTCTTTACTTATAAACATATTGTAATCCGGTTTAAGATTTGGAAGAATTCTTCACTACTACAAAAGATTCATTTACCCTGGAGCCATTTATTTCATGGAATAAGGAGTTACGGATGAAACGATCTCTAAACAAAAACAGAACATGGGAAAATAGTTGATGTATTATTGATTTCCTTGTCTCGGTGCAAATAATAACAGTAGTTTTATAAAATTGTAATTTATGTCATCTGTTTTTTTCCTCAATTTTCTAATGCCACTTTTTTGTCCATTGGTACTTATTTCTTTGTTTTATTTTCTTATTTCCGTTTAAAACATCATTACTTTCGAATCCAATCTGTTTTACTCCCTCTATCACAGCATTACCCTCGAATATTTATACTTCTTCCTATCCGTGAAATCAGTCTATTTTGTTTATTACTATATTATATTTATATATTCATAATTATTACTTGTTCCCAATAGTAAAATTTTTACTCATGCAGTCAAAATTCATTCATTTTTCAGAGTATGTCAATTTCATTAATATAATATAATGTGATTAATATAATAATAATGTGATTGATATAATCTACATGGCACTATTATTGAAATAAATATTTGTGATGTAATGTTCTGATAGAACACAAATGTTCTGAAAGGTCTTCGTATCTTCGTAAGTGTCTCAATTAAATACTGTTGGATGGCATTATCCTTGGAGCAATCGATTTAATATATTGGATAGGTTGTGATAATTTGATGATCGTTTTGTTTTTTCATCATTAGCTAGCCTCAAATTCAAATATTTTCTCGTTTTTTTGTTCAGCTTTAAACATGGGAAAAAGAAAAAGAGCTGATGGTGATTCAGTTGTCGATGAAATGGATTCGAGCGATACAACGTTAAGTTTGAATGTTGTTGCATCGGCTAATTTTTGCAATACGAGTAAAGATGAGTATGATGTTTGGCTAGTCAGGAAGCCGACAAGGGTTTGCTTTTCCATATCCTTTTTGCAAAAGTTGAATTTATTGATGGGAAAAGTTGTAAATCTTATTGATTTGTTGTTTCAAATTGTCATTCTTATATGGATTTTTTGGGTTTCGTTAATTCTTGTTACTGGTAACTGATATGGTAACAGCGGCGTATTGGAAGAGATAAATTATTGGCTAATATTTTTAGGTTTTTTCGGGAAATCTGTTCTTATGTTTAATTACTCTGGCACCTAAAAAGTCACTGTAAATTTGATAAAATTAGAGTGATTTTAATTGCAGATCCCATTAAATGATTTATCGTCGATTAAGTTTCCTCACAAAGCAAAAAATCGAATACGGGTTTCAGTTCCATCTCGATTGGATGCAGTACCATTGAACTGTCATTTTCGTTATCTTGCTTTACCTCACGTCTATATTCCAACCAGTGGAATCAGAACTCAAAAGGATGCTATGATGCTTAAAGCCAGTTAGTTTTCTCTGGTAAAATTGGTTTTTTCTTATTTTTTATATTTACAGTGAAGTATTTTCTGGCGATCTGCTCTAATGTAATTATTATCGAGTACAGACAGATATTTTTTACTTCGCTTCATGTAGATCGAAAAAGGTTAATTACATAAAAGAAAATATATATCTCTATTGGGGAAGTTTAATTCAATTTAACATTGCCTGTTTAATCTTTATCCAATTTTCACAGAACAGTTGTAAGGATTGGTTAGAGAACAGTATAGTTATTAATTAAACTGTTCCTCATCTTTTCCACATAAAATTGATTTTCTTAGGTTCTTTTTCTTGTAAGAAATTTTAGCAAATTTGGTGAAAGGAATTGTGCTAGTGAACGAGAAACTTGATTTGTTAGATGGTGCTGCAATTCTCACGAATAATGATGGTATTACTGTTAAACAAGAACCTGGTATGTTTGTATCATACATCTTCGAAGAGTCAACCGAATTCGAAAGTCATTAATAATGTATGTCATAATTTAATGGTCAATTTATTTTGGATGTCTGCTTTTTAGGTAGGTTGTTGGAAAGTGGAATACATGATATGAATTTCAAAATTAATTCAGTTCGCAAAAAGCCTCGATTACCAGCTGACAATGCAAAACAACGATTGAAACCATTTGGAATTATTCCTAAAAAGAAGAGCAAAAATTACAAGCTTCCAAATTTGATCAGTTCTTAGTGATAATTAAAATTGTTTATGTGTATTACTTTGCGAAAATAAACTTGAACAAAATCACCGATCATCGACAGCTTAACTAGCAGTCGGATTAAAGTAAACGACTAAATAGTGCGAGACATGAATGTTATCATCCCAGCAGTTAGCTTTAAACTATTTCACTAACTATACTGAATTTCCAAACACTCATAATGTTTTCAATTTTTTTAAATATACGTTCGAAACTAGCCATTCTTTCCAGAAATAATCTCATTTTGTTTTCTTCTGAAATAGCTTCACAAAATTTCATATGCAAATTTTCGTCCTTTTCTTTCTTCTTATCCCAAGGGGTAACAGTCATTAGAAATGCTCAATATTGTTCTAAACTACATTAAAGCAAATGGCACAAAAATTCATTCGTAGGTAATCATTTTACGCTTTGTGTGAATTATGTTCCCAAAATTCCATCATTAACACTTTATTTACTTTTTTTTTGTCTTATTTAAACTTCTCATCTATTGTTCAATTCAAAAAAAAAAAACAACGAACTTTTCCCTGCTTATCGAAGCAGAACGATGCGTTCATATATTAGCTTGGATATTCAAGTATATATTCAAGTATTCAAGTATATATATATGTGTGTCTGTGTGTGTATCTGTGTGTGTGTGTGTGT